GTGTTCAAGCAGCAGGCACGAGCGGGTGTGTGTGCGCTGGGCCGGCGCTTGCAGGAGCAGGAGCAGGACTTTGCAGGCAAAGCAGCGACTTTCCAGCGCGAGATCCAGCACCTGCAGGCTCAGCTCCGAGAACGACAAGAACAACTCCACGGAGCGCTGCAGCAGAAGAGGTGACACGCGCACACACACTCTCTTTTACCCTCTCTCTCTCTCTTTCTCTCTCTTTCGTTGTCTCACTCTCTCTCTCTCAGTGTCTCTCTCTCTCTTGCTCTCTCCGAGTGATGCTGCAGAGATGGTGAAAGCAGCAATTGCAGCAGCGCAAACCAATGACAGACAAGCGGAGAAGAAAGAGAGACGGGGGAGGAGTGGAGAGAGTGAGAGGAAAAGAAATAGAGAGGGAGGGGACAGAGAGAAAGAAAGAAAGATTTTCTGTTTTGCCTTCTCTTTTCCCCTAGTTTTCTTTCAGTTGACTCACTCTCTCTGCACTCTTTTTGCCTGTGTGTTTTCCTCCATGTACCACCTGTGCTTCTTTTTTTGTTCTCTGTACAGTTTTTTCTAGGTTGTCTTCTGACTTCTGTTGAGTGAGTGTGGGTTTGTGTTCCTTCATGAACCACTTTCTTTGCCTATTTATTTTCCCTCTTTGTAGCTATTTTTCTTGCCTTTTTAAATCCTTTTAAGCATGTGTTTGTTTGATTAGATCACTTTGTTCCTTATGAATAAAACTGCACATCAGGTATACATGTCTGTACACAGATCCCAGAGGGGACTTGTGTAAACAATGTTTTATATAGTCTCCACTAGATGTGGGCAATATGGCCAAAACCTTATATCTCGGTTTACAAACTTCAATTGCAAAAAATTAGGACAGTTTGTGAAATGCAAATTAAAACAGAAAGCAGTTTATCAATGTATTATTTTAAATAATTTGTATTTAAATTTTTGGTAAATACATGCTTGTTCTGAAATCAATGCCTGCAATATGTTCTAGTTGAGACTGGGGCAACTTTAGACTGGGGATGTTGTGAAATGTTTAAACAACACAAACAAGTAATGCAGTCATGCTTGGGTATACAAGCATCCATGAAAGGCCTAGTCATTTATGAGCAAGGGTGGACTGAGGCTGACCGTTTGTGAAAAATGTATTGACAAATAATATAACAGTTTAAGAAGAGTGCTCATTAATGCACTCAGTGTTCCTCAGTTGCAAGGATTTTAGGTCTTTCGCCCTGTTAGTGCGTAACTTCAAAAGATTCAGGAAATCTGGAGAAATCACTATGCATAAAGGGCAGGGCTGAAAAACACAAATGGATTGCCTGTGACCTTCAATCCCTCAGATGGCACTACATTAAAAACTGATATGCTTCTGTGAAGGATATCACCGTATTGGCTCAGGAATACTTTGTCAAAATATATTCATTAAGTTCAATAAGTTTAAACTGTCCTATGCACAGCAGAAGCCATTTGTCAACACTGTCCAGAAATGCTGCAGGCTCTGGGTTGTAAAATAGACTGAAGCACAGTGGAAATGTGTATTGTGATCTGACGACTCAACGTCTCTGATTGTTTATGGAAATAATGGATGACGTTCTCCAGGCCAAAGAACAAAAGGACCATCCTGATTGTTACCAGCATAAAGTTAAAAAAACAGGGTCTGTCATGGTTTCGGTGTATTAGTGCCCATGGCATGAATAACTTGCACACCTGTGAAGGAATCCTTTAATGCTGAAAGATATATACACATTTTGGGGTAACACCTTCTAGATGACGTCTTTTTCAGGGACATCAGGAATTTTTCAGTATGATGATGCCAAGCCACCTTCTGCATGTGTTACCATAGCATGGCTGCGTAATTAGAGCTCTTTAAAGGTTCACTCTCTAATTGAAGCTGGCAGGAGGAAGCAGCTGCCAGTGGCAGTTGATAGTCAGTGAGTGGTAATTGCCAAGTCAGGTGGTAGCTGCCATTCACAAGGTCTCTTGCCCTGTAAGTTTGTACGTTGTTGATGTCACCGACAGAGGACCACAAGGCTTAGGGCACCATTTGGGACTGGGCTAGAGACAGTCCAGAATCAGCCCCAAGGTGTGATTTTCATATGTGATTGGCAGCTGCCACTTGCTTTAACAGCTACTACTGTCAGACTGGTGTCTTCCACTGATTAACTGACAGCTGCCATTAACCAATTGGCAGCTGCTACAACCTGACTGCCAGCTGCTGCTAAATATGTGGCAGCTCCCACTGATTGATTGCCAGCTGCCACTTACATACTGACTACCACCAACTGATTGGCAGCCATCACTAGCTGACTGGCAGCTCTCACTAAACGAATGCCAGTGGTTGACTGGCAGCTGCCACTAACCAATTGGCAGCTAACTGACTGGCAGCTGTCACTTACTGACAAAAAAGTGCCCCCAAAATGTGCACAGGCTGGCAGGTGTGTGATGTTATCATGAACAGTCTGATAAACCTATAGTAAGAACAAGCTTTACTATAATATACATTAAAAAGGATCTTGATTTGCAATAAATCAGTAACATATCAAGATTATAGCAAAATCAACATGCACTGTACTGCTCCAAATTGGTGGGCCTAAGAAAAGTTTTAATCCCAGCTGTGCCACATGTAGTCAATGACCACACATGCTTTAAAATACAGTTGGCCATGGGGAGGCGAAGTAAGGAAGACAGGCTATCCATCGTGAAAACAGATCTTAAGAAAATGTTTTTTAACCTAATGTCTATCTGCCGCATCTGCATTGTACGTTCGCTTAACACACTCAGTTATTTTGACAAGTCTTCCTGTAACTTGATGTTACCTATTAACCTGTTAAGTCACTTCAAATTGATGCCATTGTGCAGTTTCTGTATTCTATGAATATCTGCTTAAAATATGTAACCATGCAACAGGAATTTGAGACTCCAACTACTCTAACAGTACAAGTGTTAGGATGAGAATGACATGAGAGAATGTCTTACTAAAGCTGTTTTATCCAATTTTCAAACATTAAAGCAACACAGATAAAAAGCTCACATCACTATGCTAATAATGTATTACTATAAATTCTTCCCTTTGGAAAACAATTCCATTGTCTGAAAGAACAAATTCTGCAGATTTACAGTGTTATTTACAAATACTTTCATAAAAGTGTCCTACAAAAATATGTCATACAAATTATGACTTCAGTTATAAGTGTGTTTCAAGTCAATAGATTTTCTATTCTGCAGGGAAATTAGCACAGCAAAAAAAAATTTGTGGCAGTGGACATTATGCTAGATTTGTGGCAGAGGCATCCATTGAAAAATACTTGAGATTTTTAACTCAAAATCTGATTCATTTTCTGACCTCAAACATCCAAATCTGTCATATCAGGACAGGAAAGGTGTCCCCATAAGTAAAGCTGTCACAGTTAACATGTTAATAATTCATTAAAGCAATAAATGATAAGCTTGTTTTTGTATTCTCCTAACACATTTTCCTAGTTTGACCCTTCAAACTGTCCGTAATAGTGCAGGTTTAAACTCAACAAGCTCAGTTGCTTGCACACTGTATGTTGCTATGTCAGAATCCTAGACTATAGCCCTCTTGTTCAATTACAACTTTTAAATGAGTTTTAAAGCAGCCTCCGTCACCTTCAGCAGACCATGCTGGACAGGAACCATTATCTGCATTTACAGTACTGTGCAAAAGTCAGAGACCACTTTTCGCTATTTAATTTCCAGCCAAAATAGCCATGAAGTAAAAGTTATTTATTTTTAGGAGATATTTTCAGGAGATGTTTCTTAGGACTTTAGATAGACAATAATCTGTGTGCATAAGAAAGGGGCAAGTCAAAGGAAAATAAGTGAAAAAGCAGGAGTTTAAATAAATTAATAAAAGATATACAGAAAATGGGACTTCCAACAACCGTGCAACTGTCACCATCAGATAAATAGTATTAAAGCTTTCATCTTTGAGAAATAGCAGAAAAAAGCTCCACTTTTGCTTCACATCTTAAAAAAATTCACAGGTCTTTCTGTCAATCTTTTCACTGTGAGATGTCAGCTCAACACTGTGAGTGTGAAAGGATGTTTTCAGGCCTCAACATGATTGAATATGCTTGGTATTGCTTGGATTACGAGAAACAGAAAGTGCATCCGACTTCTAAGACTAAATGTAAGAGGTGTGGCAAAATATTTCTGCAGATTTCTTTGAAAAACTGAAAGCTAGTCTCCAAAAAAGAACAAAATCTGTAAAAAGGCAAAGGGTGGACATACTAAATACTGGAACATTTGATATTATGTTTAGTTGTTGAGGTTTCTGTATAATTTTCCCTTAAAATGTTTTCTGCCTGAAAACAAATAACATGAACTTAAGGTAATCGAAGATATGAAGAGTAGTACCTTTTGCACAGTACTGAACAAACTATAATGGTGCAGTGCTGTTTATGATATATACACTCATCAGTTCGGTTGGCACATGCCGTCACTGTTGCTCTCACTGGACATCTGTAATGAAAATTGGAAAATTCGTTCACCTTAAGGAAGTTGTGTGATTTTCTTGTTCAGGTTTATGTAAACCCTGTGCTCACATGATGAGAATAATTGTTACTTAATTATTGCGAGTAATAAATATGTTCTGTTGAAGCTTATTTTGTCTGCTCCATTTAGCTATAACAAAATGCATTGCTTTTTAAATGGGAGAAAAACTTTCTTTTGTGGACAAATGCAGTTGATCACGGTTAACTATTCAAAATAATGTGCTTAACTAGGATTAATTGTTTTAACTGTTTGACGGTCCTATTAAATATACATATTTCTCTGCTCTATGTAGATACCTAGAGATTTTTGCATGTGAGCTGTAGTTACTGGACTAATTGCAGCATATTGTTGGAATTGGGGCTGCTACGGCTGTTTTTCTGGGTCACTGGGGTAAGATATGAACACACACATATACTCACTCACACAGGCTCACTCTGCAGTGGTGAGAATGGGCCAGTATGTACCAGACGCAGACAGACAGTCAGGGTGGGTAGGGATGCCAGTTGAGGACACACACACACACACACAGCTTTGCTCTGTTTGTCAGGACTATTTATTTTACACACCACACCATGCGCAGCTGCTCAGCTGGAGTGTGAGCTGTGCTGTGAGCTGTAGCGAGACTAGTGATGTCCAGTTCAGAAGCAGAGTGCTTCCA